TCAGATCACAGCATGTGTGTAGACTCCCATGGCCAGTGCCAAGGTGACAGCCACCTGGAGACACTGATGCAAGAGCTGATGTGACAGCAGACAGGGCCTGAGTTCAGGGAGGACAGAGGAGAGGGAAGGGTGTCAATATATATATTCGCAATATAGATAACCCATGTACGTAAAGCCAGGAAGAGGGGGGGGGGAGCTCAGGACTTGCAGTCCACGCAAGAGGATGGATAACTGCATCACAGACTCTGTGGGACCACTGGAGCTTAGGGGAGAAGAGAGGAGGAGTGGGCCAAGTATATATTCTTTGGACCTGATGAGTTCGAAGCACTAGGCAGAAACTAAATATAGAAACATGGCATCTTTCAGAAACGCATTTCCATAGGAACTGGAAAGAAAGGAATCTTCTGCTGTCTGGCATGCAGGACTGTATGCATACATGACTAGCGGTGAAGGATTGACAGGATGGCTCCGTGGTTGAGAACACTTGCTTTTACAGAGAACCCAGCTTTGGTTCTTAGTACCAATACCAGGTAGCTCACAACTGCCTGTAACTCCAGATCCAAGGGATCCAAAGCCTTCTTCCTGCCCCTGGGAGCACTGCACGAGCACTGCACTGAATGTGGTGTGTATACAGACGCCCCCCACCCTCTCCCATCACACACTACACACACACAGAGAGACAGAGAGAGAGAGAGAGAGAGAGAGAGAGAGAGCAAGCAGAGAAGGGTTGATTCTAAGTCGAATTTGGAGATGATAATAATTCTTTGCATGTGGGTTCATATGTGCACATCTGTGAAGCCCACATGTGCGTTTTTACCCGTGTGAGCACTCATACAGGCCAGCAGTCACCTCCAAGTATGTTCCTCAATCACTTTTCTATTTTATTTTTGGACAGAGTCTCTCACTGAACCTGATACTTACCACTTTAGCTGAGTCCTGGAGACACCTGTGTCTGCCCCTTTCCCTGGGCAGTCAATGTGTGCTGGGGTCAGAACTCGGTCTCCATGCTTGCTCAGAGAGCTATTTACCTACTGAGCCACCCTCACCAGCCTGAATTATTTTTCTGAGACCCAGTCTCACACTGCAGCTCAGGATGCCTTGATCTCAAAACAATCCTCCTGCCTTAGCTTCCCTAGTGCTAGGATTACAGGTATGAACCACCAAACTGCCATTGGGAATTTCCGTCTAAGAAGTATTCCCTGAGATTCTCGCCAAGGCCAACTGAAAGTAGCGTTGTCAGGAGCGTCATTTCCAGCTGTAGATCCCGAGTAGATACAGTGTAGCCTTTGGCCAGTCTGATTTCCAGTTCTTGAGCTGCTGGCACCTACTCAATGTTTCCAGCTTCCTTGTCACTGGGTTTAGGCAGAGAAAAAACTTGGGGGTAACCTGAAAAGGTAGGACATCCTAAGGGACCTCAAAACTCAATGCTTTGCTACGCTACCAGGGTTTGAGTCCCCAAGCCTACAGACGACTGGGGTCTGTGAACTTGGGAAATGCCATGCTTTTTCCTCGTTAATAACGTCGACAAAAAGAACCAGGAAAAGAAAGACTGCTTAAAGAACAAGGGAGCCTCACCTTACCCTAGTTTTAAAGTGTACAGGACTTGTTGTGTATGTTCGTGTGACTGTTCATATGTGTGGGTGCACATGCATGCATGTTTGGGGGCCAGAGGTCACCTTCCAGTGTCATTCCTCAGGAGCTGCCCACCTGATTTTTTGAAACTGGTCTGGAAATCATCAAGTGGGCTGTCTGACTGGTTGGAGATCCCAGGGGTTCCCCGTGTCTTCCTCTGTAGTGCTGGGCTTACAGGCATGTGCTATCATGCCCAGATTTTTTTTTTTAAAGAAGAGTCTGGGAATCTAACTTGGGTAGGTCCTATAAGCTTTATTGACTGAGCTATCTCCTTAACCACACACATCCACCCTCCCTCCCGCCTTTGAGACAGAGCATATGTAACCTTGGCTAGCCTAGAAACTTTGTGTAGACCAGGTTGGCCTTGAACCCAAAGAGACTTACTTGCCTCTGCCTTCCTGGTACTGGGATTAAATGCATGACCCATCATAAACATTTTTTTTAAGAAATTAAGGTATTTACTAATTGCTTATATCTTGGTACAATAGAAATAATGCTATTATCATTATCATTCTAGGGGTGGGGGCCAGTTTCTAAGCTTGTAATCACAAGCATATCAAATGACAATTTGGAGTCCTGGTTGTGCATCCGATAGGGCTTGAACACTTTAAATCCTTTTTCTACAGTGTTCCGTGACTGTTGCCATGTCAGAACTGTGCGGTTCTATAAAGAACTATGGCTCTCCATATGCCAGTTAGGTTTTTAATACTGTTAAGGTATTTGAAAGACTGACAATTTGAATGCATATTGTGTGGCAGTAAGCTGTAGGTTGGTCGGACTTACATATAGCTCATCAATGTCTGAAGACCTTTTGAACTAGAAGAGCTGTTTTGGGAAAATTATTCTCCAGATTGGGAGCTGGAATAATTATTTCAAAACGAATCACAATACACAGATTTCTAGGACATATGTTAGCAATTGTATACAGATTGGGCCGGGCAAATGGCTTGACGAAGAAAGTGCTATGCTGAACACGTATGGCAACCTGAGACTGAGCCCTAGAAGTGACTCCACAAAGCTGACCTCTGACCGTATATGCACTGTGACATGCAAGCACACACACACACACACACACACTGATAATAACAATGGCCATAATAAGCTGTATATAAATTGAAATGTCTTTGTACCAACTCTCAGCACAAACGATAAAATCTCAATTATGGCAAAAAAAAAAAAGCTGTGGGGGGGGGGGCGCCCAACATGTGGCCAAGAATATGCCTCCACCTACGATTATAGGTTAATGAACCAACTCTTGCCTACTCCTATCTTCCCCCTCACTGGAATTGTTAGTCTTTGTTTTATAAGGTCATTTCCCATTCATCTGAGACACCATTAGAGAGAATGTGGCATTGAAATCATTCCCATCAGTAATGGAAATAGCTGAGATTAGCTCTGATATCCCTACAGCTGTTAAGCAAATCAAAAAGGCATTAACCGCAAGTTGAAATTTACTCCACCAGCTGAGGTAAAGACACACACTCCAGCCTGTTAAATGGACCCTTTAGGGCTTTTGCTTGAGACTTGCTGAATGCTGGTTGTGAGTCAGGACCGCCAAGTCTAGAACCATAGCCCTGTGCTCTTCAGGGAGAGATGAGTTCAAGCCCCTTGCATCCCACTCCTGGTTTCCGTGAGTGTTAAGAGGAGCAGGGCCTGGAGATTTCACAAAGTGGCCGTTTTGCATGTGAAAACTGTGGATGCAGCACGGTCGTTAGCAAGCTCAGGGTCCTGAGTTCAACCCGCAGTACCAGAAGAAGAAATTAAAACAAACCCAGCCCTTCCTATCTCTGCAGGAATGTTGATGGCTCTAAGTTTGGTGCTCGGGGTCGTGTGCCTGGGAGCTCTAGCTCCTCACTGCTGCTCCTTTGCATTTTAACTCTCCTCTGGCCTGCTACACCCCTTTGCTAACAGATGTGACCAGTCCTAGGGTCTTCAGAGGACAGGGCAATGGTTAAACCTAAAAAGCCCTTTATTAGGGGCAGGAGAGGAGCCTGTTCAAAACACTTGTCAAGCTTGCTCCCTGGAAACAACATAGAGGTGAAGGAAGAGAATCAATTCCAAAAAGTTGTCCTCTAACCTCCGCATGCACGCGGTGGCATGTATGTGTCCACACATACACATCAAGTTCACACATATAGCAACAATGATAAAGTTTAAAAAAAAAAGTGTTACATGGGGCTGGAAAGAGAACACAATCATGGGGCTGGGAAGGGAATGCAACCAGCAAGGTGCTGGCTTTGTAAGCAGGAAGATCTATGTGTGAACTCCAAAACTCACATTTTAAAAAATTCAGGCATAGTGGCACATTTTTGTAACTCAACACTGGGAAGCAGAGACAGGTGGTTCCCTGGGGCTTGCCGGCTAGTCAGCCTGGCCTGCTTTGCAAATCCCAGCCACTGAGAGATTGTAAGCTTAATAGTGCCCAAGGAATGATGCATGAGGTTGTTTTCTGGTTTCTACGTGCACATGCATACATGTAAACACACACACACACAAATCACGTCACTACATCACAAATACAATTCTCACTTCATGTTAAGTAAAATCTGTTCAAATAGGGAAGCACACAATGTATTTTTCCTTTTGCGAATGTGCATGCATGTTTGCATGTGTCCATGAGAAGATGGAGGCCAGAGGTTGACCTCGGGTATCTTCCTTGATTGCTGTCCTCTTTATTTACTGTGTTGATCTCAGAATTGACTAATTCAGCAAGTCTAACTAGCCAGCTTGGCTCAGGGACTCCCTGCCTCGGCCTCTTGAGCACTCTGGTCCTCAAGCTTAAGCTGCAAGTGCTCCATTCACTGATCCATCTCCTCAGCCCTCTGACATCTTTGGATCACTTTACCCTTCCTTTGCAGAAGGGCATTTCAGTCAGTCCTATCTGAGATAAATCCGTACATTTCAAGGGACACCAGTGGCACTTAGGACAGAATCAACAGTCACAGAAGCTTCTCATGGAACTTCATGTGGCACCAGAACAAATCCCAAGACTTGTGACACGATACAAGTCTCAGTTTACTTTGAGATGTGTGACTCTCTCCCTCTGCTCCCCCCAAATAAACTTTATCTTCACTCCACATGTATCCTCACACAGACATGCAAACCTGTGGCCACTGCACACACTGATGGGCCCAGCGACAGGTATCCTCACACAAACATGCAAACCTGTGGCCACTGCACACACTGATGGGCCCAGAGAAGTCATACCTGACTTTTCATCTTCTCAGAATATAGTTGTGCTATGACCTTTGTCCCTAACCACAGACCAAGAGATACTTGATCTCCCTCTTCCTTTGAGTCTCTTCACCCTTCCAGACTTTTCTGATAAAGAACACAGAAGCCAAAGCAGGGATTCCAGGAGTGCCTACCTTACACAGAAGTACAGAACAACAGGTCCAGACTTTTTGGGGAAGTCGTGCTCCAGGACTCTCCGATCTAGTTGAAGCCAGTTCAAGTGTCCCCTGGAGAAAGGAGAGGCAGCTGGTTAGGTTGTTGGACTGTGCAGGTCTTCAGAGATGAGGGTCTCTGCAGAGCAGAACCCACTGGGTTGTAGGCATGCAGGGGATCTTGAGTCCTTCTTGGTATTTCAGTAATGGACGAACACTCAGGGATTCTCTCGGGGAAAGAGTGCTGAGAAAACTGCTGTATGGTGGGGACATGAATCATGAAGCCAAGATGAGAGGTGATGCCTGTTTCCTATAACCACAGCTCTCTCTCTTGGCCTCAGTTCCCTCCCCACTCCTTAGGGTATGTACTTTTTCTATAGAATTCAGAACACGCCTTAATAACATGCTAACAATCCTCACATCATCCTACTGGAAGCAGTTGGGCTGCCATATGAACCACACTTTCTTTTTTTATGATAGTAAACTATTTATTTAATTATTATATATACAATATTCTGTCTGTGTGTATGCCTGCAGGCCAGAAGAGGGCACCAGACCCCATTACAGATGGTTGCTGGGAATTGAACTCATGACCTTTGGAAGAGCAGGCAATGCTCTTATCCTCTGAGCCATCTCTCCAGCCCCTCAACCACACTTTCTTAAACGTAAACCTACACAGGATCAAGCCATCATTCCATTTCTAGGGTTCACCCTTCCTCTCTACAAAAGGAGGCATTTGTCGACACAAGGCCTCTTCCACACGAGTTCACAGATACTGTATATGAAAAGACTCTAGCATGGCCCAAACCCATCCCAGGGTTTTACCAACAGAAGAATGAGTGAATGACGGTATAATGCCCAAACGGAATACTATACAGCGATGAAGAGAAAGTGCTGCCGCTGTAAGCAGTGACATAGGTGAGCCTTAGCATAATGAAGCTGAATGGAAGAAGTTTTAAATGAAAGGTTTAAAAAAGTACAAAATTGTTTGCTCCAATATGTTGTAAGACTCTTCCAAAATTTCTCCTTTTGTGTATGTATGTGTGTGGGGTGTATGTACAAGTGTGTGTGTGTACTACACACGTGTGTAGTACAATGCATGCTCATGTGTGGGTGTGTAGGCCACAGGTTGATGTTAGGTGTCCTCCTTAAATACGCCCCTTTCTACACTGCAACAGGGTCTCCCACTTGCATCCAGAGCTCAGTTCTTGGCTTAATTTAGCTAGTCAGCTTGCTTCAAGGATCCTAGCTCCACTTCTTTTTTTTTTAAAATTTATTTATTTATTAAAGATTTCTGTCTCTTCCTTGCCACTGCCTCCCATATCCCTCCCCCTCCCCCAATCACCTTGGATTATTGGTGAACCTTGATGGCTGCCCAGCATTCACATGCATTCTGGGGATCTGAACTCTGGCCTTCATATTTGCATTCCCATGAGCCACCTCTGCAGCCTCTTAGATTTGGTTTGTGAAATCTCCTAAATACAAGAGAGGGACTGACAGGAGCCAAAGGCCAGTTGTCTCTGCCTCTCCCGGGGCTAAGAGTAGATGCTAAACAATTTCATTGCTGTGTTAAGGAAACAAATGCGGGGCTGGTGAGATGGCTCAGAGGTTAAGAGCAATGGCTGTTTTGTTCAGAGGTCCTGAGTTCAACTCCAGGAAAGCACATGATGGCTCATAACCATCTGTAATGAGATCTGGTGCCCTCTTCTGGTGTGCAAGCATACATGCAGGCAGAACACTACATACGTAACACATAAATCTTTCTTAAAAAAAGAAGACAAATGCATCAATTTTACAGTGTGTCCCAGAGAGCCATATTCTTTATGCATATGTGTTCTCATGCATATATGTGAGCTCATGTGTGTGGGTTCACATTCATGTATGTGTACATAGGCATGTCCAAAGCTATGTCAGATGTCTTCCTTAAGTCCTCCCACTTTATTGAGACAGGATTTCTAGCTGAACTCAGACTCCCACTTCATTGAAACAGGATCTCTAGCTGAACTCAGAGCTTGCTGATTCCAGCTAGTCTAGTGAGCCACCTTGCTCCAGGGTTCCCCCATCCCTGCCTCCCAAGGGCTGAGCATAAAGAAAGTCCCCTTGCTTGCCCAATTTCTACTTGGGCTCTGAGGGATTTCAGTTTTGGTCCTCATGCTTGTGGAACGAGCACTTTATCCACTGAACCATCTCCCCAGCCTGGAAACCATTTTCTTAAAGATTCAGTGACTGCCACTAGGTACAGCCAATGCTTCTGCCCCAGGTATGAAGAATTCCTTCTGCTCACCCAGTCTGAGACCCAGGCTCTGCAGCATCATTTGTACTGTGGTGCGGTGGGGGCAGGGGTGCAGCAAGGAGGACCGAAGTGCCTAGCCCCTTCCGGAGCAGCACTGTTCTTTTCTATTTATCTTGGCGCCACACGTAGAAAGTCACGCGCCAATGCTTCTCTGGTCCCTTGACATAAGGTGCTGCTGTCTGCTGTGATGTGTGACAGTGGTGTGCTCGTCTCAGAGGCTGTCATGAGCACTAAAGGTCAAGCTCCCAGAGGCAGCTATGACAGCCCAGGCATGGCAGGCTGGAGCCACTGACTTTCGCTGTCCTGCTGTCTGGTAGTTCACGGGTGGAAACCCCAAGCCCAGTTCTAAGTAAATTATGTTCCCAGAGCTGCTACTGCTGGTTCTTGTGCCCAAGATAAGAAATCGCTTTGGAACTTTGTTTTCAAATAGTAGTAGATATACATGTGACTTCTGCTAGGTTCTCTGCAGATGCCCCAGCCAATGCCATGCGTCCTGTGTGAGGAGGGACACAGAGCACTGCAGACTAGAGCACACTTTAGGACCCAGCATGCCTGGCGATGGGTCACAGGTGTGCTGCCAACAAGACATTCATTATTGGGCTAAATCTGACTCCTGGACCTGCACCAATGAAGCAGTTCAGTTAACTGTGACTCAGGCACTCAGACACTCAGTCTTAGTTGATAAAATGCTTGCCACACACATGAGGGCCAAGTCTGACCCATAGCACCCACAGAAAAAAGGCAGGTGTGATGGGGTGCTCTTGGAACCCCAGCTTTTGAGGGGAGGCAGAGGCTTCAGGGTCCCTGAGGATTGCTGGATATTTATTTTTGCCTAATTGGTAAGCTTCAGGCCAATGATACTTGCCTCAAAGCAGGGGGATAATGTTCCTGAGATTGTCTCCTGGCTTACACAGACACACACATGCACACACAGATATCCATGTGCACAAACATACAGAAGAAACGCCGATACAGGAAGTGGAAAGTAATACTCCTTAGTTGACCTTTTATGTTTTCAAACTAGGACTGTAGCCTCGTGGTGTCTGCGGCCCCTCTAAAGCGTAAGCAAACTTTTCTGCGCAAGCATTTGCGGAAGAGAAGAAATGTAAGTCTCCGATGAAAACATAGGGCAAGAGCCCCTCATTTTCTTAACAGGCATGGGAAAGTACATTCTAATTGCACTTGCACAATAATGGCTAACCTGCTTTGTCCCTCAAATGTCTAAACACTCTTTAAAAGTTTTCCTTTCCCTGAAGACATGGATATTCAATTATACCATTTGATGAGCGAGTCACAAGATTGGGGACAGGAGACAGAAACTTAATTGCAGTGACAACCATCACTTCAACTTGCGGTATGTTTGATTGCTTATTTTGACTGAACTTATTTAGTGTTTGGCTTTTGGGGGGAATCCTTTGTCTTCTCTCAGTTATTAACTTAAAACCAACCACCACAGAACTTCATAGAAGAGAAAGTTGGAAGGACACTTGAACGCACTGGCACAGGAGACTACTTCCTAAATATAACCCCAGTAGCACAGACACTGAAAGAAACAATTAATAAATGGGACCTCCTGAAACTAACTGAGAAGCTTCTGTAAAGCAAAGAACATGGTCAACAAGACAAAACAGCAGCCTACAAAATGGTACTTCACCAATCCCACATCAGACAAAGGGTTGATCTCCAAAATATACAAAGAACTCAAGAAATTGGTCATCAAAAGAACAAATACTCCAGTAAAAAATAGGATACAGACCTAAACAGAGAACTCTCAACAGAGGAATCTAAAATGGCTGAAAGACACTTAAAGAAATGCTCAACATCCTTAGTCATCAGAGAAATGCAAATTAAAACAATTCTGAGATTCCATCTTACACCTGTAAGAATGGCCAAGATCAAAAATACTGATGACAACTTATGCTGAAGAGGTTGTGGGGTAAAGGGAACACTCCTGCATTGCTGGTGGGAGTGCAAACTGGTACAGTCCCTTTGGATTTCATTATGGCGATTTTTTAGAAAATTAGGAAACAACCTACTTCAAGAGCCAGCAATACCACTTTTGGGTATACACCCAAAGGATGCTCAATCATACCACAAGGACATGTGCTCAACTATGTTCATAGCAGCATTATTTGTAATAGCCAGAACCTGGAAACAACCTAAATGCCCCTCGACTGAAGAATGGATAAGGAAAATGTGGTACATTTACACAGTGGAGTACTGCAGAGTGGAAAAGAAAAATGACATCTTAAAATTTGCGGGCAAATGGGTGGATCTAGAAAACATCATATTGAGTGAGGTAACCCAGACCCAGAAAGATAAATACCTTATGTACTCATTCATAAGTGGCTTTTAGACATAAAGCAAAGAAAAACCAGCCTGCAATTCACAATCCAAGAGAATCTAGACAACAAAGGGAGACATACGTGGATCTAATCCATATGGGAAATAGAAAAAGACAAGATCTCCTGAGTAAATAGGGAGCATGGGGACCATGGGAGATGGTAGAAGAAGAAGGGAGAGGAAAGGAAGGGAATGGAGAAAAATATACTGCTCAATCAAAACAATTTAAAAAATATTAAAATTTGGGAATTAAACTAGTAATGCAAGTATTTCAAAAATCAAATGTAAAAACTACTCTCTAAGCGGAAGCCATGTTGGATGGATGAAAATCTGTTATGCTAAACAGTTTCTTCTTTCCAGTTTCTTTCTTCTGTCCAGTTTCTTCTTTCTGGTGCTCTATAAGCCCATAGCCTTGCGCATGCAGGGAAAGTACGCTAAA